ACGACACACACACACAGAGAGAGAGATTATTTGTAATGTCCATGAATCGTCATGCGAGAGCTGGGCACAGAAACCCCCTCCAGGGAGCTAACCAGGCCCCCTCTGCTCCTGGGGAAAGCCTTCAGCTTTCCAGCTCTGCATGCCCGCATTCTCCACCAAGATGTTGGGTAATATTTAATGTTAGGTAATATTTAATCTCCATAACCCTGGAACCTAAAATAAACACTCTTGACAACATGGAAGACATTTTACCCTGAGTCCCCAAAATAAAGGAGAGTTAACGCAGGGAAAAACCTCCTCTGAGGCTTTTCCCCCCGTCACTCCCAAGTCTCCTCAGATTCCCAGGGGCTTTATTCAGCAAAGGATGGGGGAGAAGGCGGGCCTTCTCAGGTTACAGAGGTACAGTTTTCAGTTGGAAACCCACAATCAACATCCTTGCTCAACCTTTCATGAACAGCAACAGTTGGCAAACACAGAGATTCATGAAGTGTTAATAACACAAAATGGGCAGCTTTTAGGCCTCAAAAAGGTACAATTATCAAAATACGCCTTGGCAAGATGTTCAAATTCAAATCTCCTGATGGGTTTAATAACGGAGTGGCATCCCTGCTTCAAACTGCCCTCTTTTTTTTTTTTTTTTTTAGAAAATTATAGTTTTCCTAGAGATGTGATCATGCCATGCAGTCGGCAGTTTGAGCTGGAGGTTTATTTTTCTCCCAAGAACAAAAGGAACAAAGATTCAAGTACGAACCGTCGGTGATGTGTCTCCTGCTTTAACAGAGTGGAATGAGCAGCAGCAGATTATTGTACAGAGCTTGATCTCGCCTTTACTAGCCTAATTGTCATCAGACGGTTTGTGTGACAGTGAGTGGAGTTTATCGTCTCGCTCTACTCGCTGATTTTTCTATGCAAACTGAAAACTGACCTATTTTGACCTTTGTACGGATTATTTTGTACAAGTAGTATGTACTGAAATAAAGTGAAAGTAACCAGCTGTGATTTTTTTTTACCCCGCTTTGCATTTGTTTTCCTTCCTCTACAAAGAAAATCCATTTCATTAACCTGAATTCAGACGGCTTTCGTTTAGATGAAATTGGATCATTTCCTCCTCTAAATGATTGGGCTTGTTGGATACAAAAAAAAAAAGTGGCTTTCGGGCTTGTTTTTCCTGCAACTGTACCATTTGGATCAGATTTTGCACTGCAGCAATGTTATTTTTTTTTTTATTAAAAAATAGGATTTATAAACTTAAGATTTCTCTTGGCTCTTTAATTCTTTAACCTTCACAGCTTTAAAAAGAGATTAATTATGGTAAAAGTAAAAAAAATACATCAAATATTTTTAAACCTAATTAAACAATTGAAAAAACACTTATCCAAAGATTAAACTGAGAAATTTTAGTCTCCTATTTAAATTAGCTAAAAGGAAAATATTTACACAAACTAGTCTGGCCCAATCCTTATCAAAAAGTAGAGTGACTACTTAACATCGTCTAAAAATGTATAAAAGTTTTGATTTTTCCTCTGAGCTCAGGAAAACCACAAGGACTGCCCCAGGTCAGAATGATCAAGACTTACCGCTGCTGCAGGGTATGAGTTTATTGGAGCTTCAGCTTCACAAACGAGTCCCACTGCAGCTTCCACCTAGAATAAAAAAAGATCATTTTTCACTGATGGAAATCCAGATAAAGCTATTGAACAAGTGAGCATCATGTGGAGGGAGTTGGAAACATTTTGCTGCAAAACAAACTCAATTTTACACAAAAAATATTTTTTGTACTTCAGAGCTTTAAATACTAAAGTCCATAAAAAACTGATCTAAATTAAGTTTAATCTAGAAGTCTGAAAGGTTTTTTAAGTTTATAAGAAATGTCGAAATTGAGAGTTTAAAGAAAGTCACTCAAACTCAAAGTCAAAATTTACTGTGTAAAACTAACTTTTTTCTTCAACAGCACAACAGGATAATGAGCTTGTGAATTAAAGGATCGATGTAAGGATTCGTTTTAAAATACTCTAATTGGTTTTTAAAACGTTAAATGGTTTGGCCCCTCCTTACTTGGTGTCACTGCTTCAACCGTACACCCCCGCACGGTCACTCCGCTCGGAGAACCTCATGCTCCTCTCGGTCCCAAGACCGCGCCTAAAGACCCGTGGTGAAAGGGCCTTTGCTGTGGCAGGTCCTAAGCCTTGGAACGAGCTTCCTCTCAGCATAAGGGCCTCCACCTCTGTTGCGGTTTTTAAGGCAAGGCTAAAAACCTACTTTTATGATCTGTCTCTTAATCTCTCTAACTAGTTTATTGTTTTACTTAAAACAATCTGTGTACTCACTGTATTTTTATCTGTATCTTGTGATACGATGTTTTTATTTTCTGGACTTAATGTTTTATGTTTACCTGATCAGTGTAGCGCCTTGGTGGCATCTTTTTGCCTGTAAGGCGCGATTTACAAATAAAGCTGAGTTGAGATAAAGGCAACTCAATGTGTTACCACAGGACTAATTCATGTATCTATCCACTGTATTCCGCTTATTCAGGGTCAGGTCATGGGGGCAGACTTCCCTCTCACCATCCATCTGGGCCCAGCCTAGACATCTAGACCAACCGTAGCATACCAGAAGATTATGATCTGCTTGTCGGTTTAGCTACGCTCCGCTGTTGCCTTGGTAGGTCTACCATTGGCCTAAACGGTTTTGTGTCTTGCCGATCACAGCGCTCTACCTTCATTGGGCGGGCTACAACCAGAGCTTCGTTGTAGAAAAACTAGAAAGATGGTGTCAGCTCAGGAACAACGCTCATTTGAAATGGCTTTGGTATCGAATCTGAACGATTTAGACTTGGGTCTTTCTTTGAGACATGAGCAGACAGAGGTACTTAAGTTCTTTACGCCAAAACAGGATGTATTTTCTTCTTCAGTGGTGTATGGCGGACTTTCTTATTGACTGATTTCTGTTGCGATGACTACATCATGTTGTTCGTTGCATGCAGAGACAGTTTGAAAGACAACTGTAGATTAAGCCCCACAACTGGCTTGTTTCCATAGGTCATGGCCAGAATACATATTTAAAAAGATGGCTTGCCACGCCAAGTTAGGCCAGCTCCTCTAAGGGAATCCTAAGGTGTTCCCAGGCCAGCTGAGAAACATAGTCCCTCCAGCGTGTCCTGGGTCTTCCTTTAGCTCTCCTCCTGGTTGTACATGATTGGAAAATCTCCCCATGGGGGCACGCAGGAGGCATCTTCACCAGATGCCCAAGCCACCTCAAGCGGCTCCTTGATTTAGAGAAGCAGCAGGTCTACTCCGAGCCCCTCTCGGATGACGGAGCTTCTCACCCAAAACTTGTTTTTTTTTTATCTGTTAGGGCTGCACAATATTAGGAAAACATGCTATATTTGATAATGATTAATAATGCTATAAATAAAAACTTAACTAAGGAACAAAAATGAACACAAAGAAATAAAATATCATAAAAATGAGAAAAGCAAAAGATGTGAGGAAAGGGGAAAAGAAAATGAACAAGAAAAGGCAATCGGTGGATCCCGGGAAAAGCAGAATCAGCAAAAAGAGCAGAACAAAGCTAACTCAGGTGTTCGCTAACTATCAAAATTAAGTTTTGCCCAATTGGCCAAATGGGTGAAGAGCTCCATTTGATTTGTTAAAAATAACATAACATTTCTGTTTGATTGACAGAATGCATTATGTGTGGCAAACATTTGAGCTGACCATTCATTGCTATATTTATCTGTTCTTTGCAATATGCATATTGTGCATGCTGATATCGTGATAACGATATATTTGCGATATATTGTGCAGCGGTAGTATCTGTGACCTTCTTTTTATCTCCACCCAAATCTCCGTGACCATAGATGAGGGTTGGAACCTAAATCGACCAATAAATTGAGAGTTAAGCCACGGGGCAAACCAGTACAGTGCCTGCATCACCGCAGATGCAGCGCCAATCCGCCCATCGATCTCCATCATTCATTCTGTCACTCATGAACAAGTCTCAGAGATACTTTATCTCCTCCACTTCAGGCAGGACCTCGTCTCTCTGGGTCTACAAGTTGGTTCATTCAAGCAGCGGCTTGTTGCATCACATTTAGTGCATGTACATTATAACACTAGCAATGTTAAAATTTTATTCTGCTTGATCCATTTAACAGTAAAACAAATAGTTGCACTATCCCATGGATAGTGCAGCACTGTAAACACTAGGGATGTGTATTGGTGAAATTCTGGCGATACGATACTTATCACGATACAGGGGAGATGATACGATATATCACGATATATCGCGATACATTCAGTCGGACAATATTAGCGATTTTTTTAGACTAAAATTATTGCAGGAAAATTCAATAAATGGTCCAAACTGATACTTAACATGATTAACATGAGGTATTTGAACCATAATAGAGGGATTTACATTTCAGTGGTGGAAACAAACTCCATTGCACACTACTGCTGACTAGCGGACGGCATTTCATTTGCACCAAAAGAAAAGAAAATACACAAATGTTTGCACGTAAATTCTTCCAAAAAAATCGATACACAGCTTTTGAACATTGATAAAATATCGCAGGAAACAATATCGCGATATATTGCTATATCGATATTTTCTTACATTCCTAGTAAACACTAAAGTGCCTCTGATGAGCTCATTCCCAAGATTTCACAACACTCATCAGTGTAAATTAAAATTGTAAAACGGGGAACCAGCTCATCAAGTTTTCATGTTCCTTTGCTGAAGAACCGAGCATCTGAGGGACCTTCTGTCTTTTTATCATTGAACAGGAGAATAATTTGGGTTGGGGAACAAAATGTGTCTTCAGATTGTGCACATTCAAGGACAGTTCAGAGTTCCTTTTGGAAATTCAACGAGATAGTAATAAATATTTTAAACTTTTATGTTCTACAGCATCTACAGTATGAAACTTAGGAAACATCCGACAGCATGACCCCGTCATTTGCTGCAGAGATGTGTATTTAAATATTATCGCAGAGCAGTTGGCCTCGTTTCTTTATTTGTCCGATGATTACATCCGATTCACCCTCAAGCAGACAAGAAAACAGCAGAGATCGAAATGCAGGAAATCATCAAACCACATTAAATGTCCCCTCTTTTAAAGATGCCATTGTCCAGCCTTTGTCAGATGTCATTCTGTTTTATTTTCAGAGCGGCGCGTCAGCCTTCAAAGATGTCATCTGTGCTCAAAAATACAAGCCTTTCAAAAGCAAAGCCCAATAAGGCAGAAACAAGTGTGCAAAGCTCTTACTGGAATAAGATGCAGGATCTTAAAACTGATGACATAATTAGAAAGGACTAAACAACAAAGGCCAGTGGGGTAAAATCAGATTTACATTGACTAACAGAAAGTTTATAGTGCTCCTGAGCCATGCAGCGAAAGACACCCAGAGATATTTCATGTGTAATCTGAAACGTCAGCTTGCACAGCTTCTGGTGCTACCAGTGTGACTGGACGGCGTCATGGACCTACACCCCCTTCTTTGGCCTGTGTGACACCCCTCACAGTGTGCCAACAATCCCTCTCATCACAGATCCATGTGGTGGCGGAGTATGTGTTGGGTGGGGCTGGACATAGGGCTGTGTTCAAGTCAAAGCCAGTGTACCGTCAGATTGGGATATATTTAATTGTCTTAATCTAGAAACACAATGGACAGAGAAGTTGGTCTGGATCATGCGGAGACCTTTTCCTTTGTAAACCCCTGGATCAGATACTTCCTCTTCTTCTTCAGCTTCTTATTTTGG